CCCACACTGCCGGCGCTGGTGAGACTCGATCCGTGGTCATTCTTTCCAACTTTCACCTCTATAACCAGTTGAGATGTCCATGCGGACATAAATTCTATTATATTGTTTGGTCCACTAATGGAATAAACTTTAAGAATTGTATTACAATGTTTGTTTGGTTTAAGGCAAGGTTGCAAAATACGTTAGGCGGCCCTTAGACGCCACCAATTTTTTAATTTTTTTTTAAACTAAAAGTTGTAAAAATTCACTAATAAAACATAAGGTTCTCATAGTTTTTTTTTTTACAAACTATTTATTTAAGTGGCTATAAAATTGTTCAAAATATTGTTGAAACCATCTAAATACATAAAAAAAAAAAACTAAAATTAAGAGCAAAAGAAGCATTTACCCAAAACGGATAACCGAGTCAAAAGTTATGCCTTGCCAAACTTTCTACACTTTTCAACAACCCTAAAAAAAAAAAACAAAAAAAAAAAAAAACTCGGACGGTTTAGCCTAGTGCACCATAGATCACTCATAAATCCACCACACCCTACCACTTAATGCACCACCGAAATATACATGCTGCAAGATATTATCAAAATGTCATTGCATTTTTTCATTAATACACCATAGACCAACACTTTGTGATACCACAAGTTCACTCAAAACTGCACCACAAAACACTCATATATTATGTTTTTTTTTTTTTTTTTTTGAGAACATATATTATGTTGTTCTTCACTGATAGTGACTAGCTTAGATTCCCAACTTCGCAATATTTTATTATTGTTATTTTTTTGCTTTTATGATCCTAAAGCAAAAAATCATAACACTTGTGATTTTGTCGCAGATTTTTATATTCTATTATAATATTTGATTGTAATTATTTTTCTATAAAACATATAATAGTATATAATTTAAGATATAAGTATGAAATTGATTTGATAAGTATAGCAAACATACATGAATCCATCTCGTTTGGAGGAGATTGAGATATTTTCAAATGAACTGTTATTATTAGTTCTTAGTTCTCTTCTGAGTGCGATTTCTTATTTGATCAAAGTCATATATATATATATATATATATATATATATATATATATAACATGGGGTGAGACTGAGCCGTTGATCAAATTTAATTTAGATCAATGATTCAAATCAATGATTTTTTTTTTTATTTTTTTTAATACACTTCATGATTCTTCTCATACCAATGTTGAACTGATGCACCTTAATGCACTTTAAGTGTTGAATTGGCGCGCCTTAAGTGTTAAAATAGCGCACATTAAGTTTTAAAATGGTGCACCTTAAGTGTTAAAATGGTACACCTTCAGTGTTAATAATGACGCACTAAGTGTTAAATTGACACACCTTAAGTGTTAAATTGACGCACTTAAGTGTTAAAATGACGCAGATTAAGCTTTGAAAATACGCGCATTAAGCTTTACAATTACACACCTTAAGTTTTCAAGTGTAGAACTGACGCACCTTAAGTTTTAAAATGACGCAACTTAAGTGTTAAAATGACGCACCTTAAGCTTTGAAAATACGCACCTTATACTTTCAACAATACACAAAATTACCATAATGTCACCGTATTTATTTATTTATTTATGTTCATTATGCATGGGCGATTGATTTTTGCAAAATAAATTGCTATGATTAATCCGCATGTTTTACCTAAACAATGTTTCGTATTTAATCTTATATATATATATTACATACTGCAATTTATCTTTCCATAAACCAACCGAACCTAAAATTTAATAAGATTAACATATGTGCTAAATATAAAAAGGAGTAAATTTCCGCTGCACACTCTTTTACACAAAATCATGACTTTTAAAGTTCAAGCTTTGCATTGAACTTAACTTTGCATAAACGTTTTCAAAATCATACAAGTCTATTCACCCCAACTTCTAGACTTGTAACCTAAACTATTCGGACTAACATCTCTACATTTCTATATATTAAAGCAAAATGAAGTAGGGATAAAATTTTCCCGCCAAATGAGATTAGCAATATGAATGCATTTATCTTTTAGAAAATATGGAAGGGGGTAACCCAAGTAATTACAAGAGGGGACTATCCATTTGTCTCCAGACTGGTATACCAAATCTATCTTCTTTTAGGATCTGATCAAGCTCCTCTGGGGCAGCATCATAAATTTTTAGGCTAGCAGATGCATCAGTCGACTTGGCTAGGCAGTCTGCAGCGCGATTCTGTTCCCTGGGCGCATACGATACTGTCCAATTAGCAATATTGCAGAGTTCTCGCTTATATGCATGAATGGTGTTCCTTGCGACATTATCAACGGCTCCATCCTGGTTGATTGCCTTAACGATGCTAATGGAATCGCTTTCGAAGCAAACCTCTTTCAATCTCAAGGAGGTAGCTAACTGAATACCTTTAAGGAGCGCCCAGGCTTCGGCGGCATCAATCGAACAAGCCCCAACTGCGTATGTGAACCCTTTAATCCAACTTCCTTGATCACTCCTGACTATCCCACCACACCTAGCCTCCTTTGTAATGGTGTTAAGGCATGCATCGATGTTTACCTTCGACCATCCATGCGGGGGTTTGGTCCACCTAATGAGCTTCCAATTGCGCGTTGACGCCCTTGGTCCCGTCATACCGGTTTTGTTGAAAGCCTCGTTAATTTCTTTGCATTGCGTGTGGATCCAGTAGGCCTTTTGATTAAGACTTAAGCCCTTCCCATTGAATATTCTGTCATTTCTCCATCTCCACAACCACCAAAGTGAAACGGCAAAAATGATCTTATTGTTATGCCTATGTCTGTTGCAACCCCAGCCTTCAACCCTTGCGTCAAACCATTCCAAGAAGGTCGAGTCTTGAGTAATGTTGCCTGTGTTGGGCATAACTGCTTCCCAGATTTGTCTAGCATTAGGACAAGCTCGGAGGATATGCTCCATTGATTCCACTTGATCTCCGCATAGGTCACATTTGTTATTGTCTGTGAAGCCTCTTTTAGCTCTATTTTCATTAGACATGATCCTGTTGTGCCTTACAAGCCAAAGAAAAAACTGCATCTTGCTCGGGACCTTCAATTTCTAGATGTTACTCCATTTGCGCGTCCCGGGTTGGAACTGTAGATTGGTTAATTCTTCCCATTTCCAGCCAAAGATTCGTTAATTCTTCCCATTTCCAGCCTGTGGATGCATCCCAATAATCCGAGACTCGGGCATATAATATTGGTAACGGTAGGTTGACTGCAACTAAGTTGATCAGGGGTTGCTGCTCGATCCAAGGATCCATCCAAAAGAGGGTATTTCTGCCATTTGTAACGAGTTTTTTGAGGCCTTTCATGAGAGTTGGTGCTGCCTTGAGGACTCCCTTCCAAGCATTAGACATACCTATCTTTGGTTGACATGTGTTAGGGTTAGAACTCTGTACCCCATAGTCCTTCTTCGCCCAATTGTATCCTCCACCCCAGTTTTACCATAAAAGCTAAATTCATGTTTTCCAGCTTCCTAATACCTAGACCTCCATTCTCCGTGTCCTTCGTAACTGTATCCCATGCCACGAGATTGCATTTCCTTTCCCCGGCAGTCCCTCCCCATAAGAAGGTTCGTATTAGCTTTTCGATTTCATCGAGCACCCCCAGTGGTATCGTCGTAGACTGCATTGCATAAATGGGTATAACAGAGAAGACTTATTGAGCAAGGACTTTCCTACTTGCCATGGAAAGAGTTTCATCTTCCAGCCTAAGAGTCTATTTTGAACCCTATCAACAAGCCCCTGGAATGAGTCCTTTTTCAATCTGCCATGCTGCGAGGGTACCCCCAGGTATTTACCTAGGTTCTCAGTAATTGTGATGTTGAGTATCTCAGCTATTGAGCGTCGATCAGCAGCAGATGTATTCTTAGAGAAATACATAAGAGACTTGTGGTAGTTGACTTTTTGCCCCGGGCTGTTACAGAAGAGATCTAGTCATTGTTTGATCACCAGTGCTTGCTGTGATCCGCAAAAAGGAGATGTGAGATGCATGTGCCATTTCTGGAGACACTAATCCCTTTCCAAAGACCTCCTTCAACCTTCTCATTAATCAGATGGCTCAGCCGTTCAATACAAAACACAAAGATTAGTGGGGATATAGGATCACCTTGTCGGATGCTCCTTGTAGGCTTGAACCAATGCGACCGCTGTCCATTTAAGGTAACTGCCAACCTTGTTGTTGTGATACACCCCATAATATGTCTAATCCAGACCTCATTAAAACCTGCCTCTCGAAGAGTGTCTTGGACAAAACTCCATGACAGCCTATCGTAGACCTTCTCAAGGTCAATTTTAAGGATCATCAATCCCACTCTTCCCTTTTTATGGTTTGCTGTATTCAAAACTTCTTGATAAGCAATTATATTGTCCACTATCTGCCTCCCGGGAACAAAGCTTGATTGATTAGGACCAACAAGCTTCTGAATAGCTGATTTCAATCTAGAAGTAAGTGTCCTTGATATTACCTTATAGGATACATTACACAAGCTAATGGGTCGTAGCTGCTTCGCATTCTCCGGACACTGTACTTTCGGTATCAAAGTTATAACAGTATCATTACATCCCTCAGTGAGATTGCCGGTCGCAAAATAGTCCATCACAAAAGATACCAATTTCTCCCCCACTACCGACCAGGAGCGTTGATAGAATCCAGCATGGTAGCCATCCGGTCCGGGGGCCTTAAACGAGGCCATGTCAAAGCACGCTTGCTTGACTTCCAATGGTGTAAAGGGGGCATTCACATAGTCCCACTCGGCCTCTTGGAAGGCTGGGAAGGAATTTCTCCAAGCAGTCTGATCTCGGTTGGTTGCATCTTCCATGTACAGATTTGTGAAGAATTCAGTGATATGACTTAAGATGGCCTCCTCGGTTTCCAGCCATTCCCCTTGACTATTCCTTAGCTTGGTAATCTTAGAATAAGCCTTTTTGGCAACTGTCGTAGCATGATAGATCCTCATATTTCAATCCCCAGTTGCTATCCAATCCTCACGGGAGCTTTAGAACTAGTAGAGCTCTTCTTGGTTCAGGATCTCCTCTAATTCCATTTGCAGTTTGTTACTCAATCTGATTAGGTCTGTCCTTGGATGAATTTCGAGAGCCCTTTGAACCCCATTAATCCTAGCTAGGACTCTTCGTTTTCTTTGGAATATGTTCCCGAACGAGTTGCGATTCCAGTTCTGCAGTTTACTTGCTAGCTCCTTCTTGGTATGTTCCAAGTCATACTCGGCATTCCAGTTGTTCTTGATGATGTTTGAGAAATTAGGGTGTAAAAACCAAGCTGCATTATACTTAAAGCTTCTCGGCCCAGTGAAGTTCTGCATCTCCATGGTTCTTATGAGGAGAGGGGCGTGGTCAGAGCTGACTATGGGCAAATGTAGTACACTTGCATCCGGGAAGCGCATTCTCCAATCCAAATTGCACAAAGCACGGTCAAGCCTAGATTCTTTAAATGAAGTTGAGCTTAGGCCTCTACACCATGTGAACTGGGAGCCCTCAAAGCCGAGGTCAATTAATCCCTCATCAAAGATCCATTTCCTAAAGCCTGCACACCGGGAAGACGAAAAATTAGTACTATTAGAGACTTCATCTATAGAGAGTACTGAGTTATAATCTCCTACTGATAACCAAGGTCCTTGAATATTTAGGTCCTCCTGAGACAAGTCCTCAAAGAGGTGTCTTCTAAGGGCATGATCGGGGCTACCATACACGAAGGATAGATTCCACGGTTGTGAATTATCCTCTGTAACCTTCAAGAGAAAAAATTGGGGATGGGTCATAGAGGTCCCGACTTGAATCTCGTTCTTCCAAAAGACCCAAATCCTACCTGAAAAGCCAAAGGCTTCAACTCTTAGCCATTGATCAAAACCAAGATCAAAGCAAATCTCATTGGCATGGTCTCCAGAGACTCTTGGCTCAAGTAGACACGTAATACTAGGTTTAAAATCATGCAAGAAAAATTTAAGGGTGCGGCGAAACGTTCTGGACGCCGCCCCCTGGCAATTCCATACTAAGACATTCATTAAGACAAAAGAGGGGAAAGAAATAGCTCAATTGAGCAAAGGGGAACCCATAGCCAGACTGTGACGGCTTCTGTTCGACATATCCTCTTCCATTGCGTCCTTTGGTGTATCACAGTCGTAAAAGTCGGCTCCATCATCCGGGGGTACATCAATATTGGTGCTTGCTGTTGAGTGGGCTAGTACTATTTCGGGATCAATTTGCCGGTGGTTGACGATCGTCCTTGTGACTGGCTGGCCCCTTGCCGATCCTCTCACAAGGGTGTGCTCGTCTTCGGCTGCTGCCCTCCGAGGGGTGGACGGCCTTTCCCTTCTTTCCTGCTAGATAAGCTCGTTGGTCTTGATGCCCGGTAGCCGGTGAGTAGGAGAGAGGAAGCCATTGGGGTCACCGCCCTTTTGGCCGACTACTGCCGGAGTCTCTTCTGCAGGAAGTCTTCCAGTTCTTCTGTTGGCTATTGGGTTGGCTCTTCTGGGAGAGCTTGAGGTCCCCCCTCTTTCTTGATGGTTAACTGGGATAGGCTGCTTTGCCCCAAATCGTTGATGAACAGATGGAGGGCGGGTTTTAGCCTGCCCATTAGACGGCGGGATTACCATAGGTGCTTTACCCGGATTCCTCTGGATGGTGTTGACTTCTTCAATCTCTTCATCTTCCTGGTTGTCCTCATTTAGGTTATTCAAAGGGCCAAATCTGGTGTTAAACTTCTGGAGATTAGGGCCGCTTGATGTGCTTAGGCCTTGGTTCCTCTCCATCATGTTCTGTTTCTGGGTAGTACCACGATTCCCGCCTCTCTTAGGTGGCCGCCGATCCTTCCTTGTCACAAGCATCCATTGACCAAATCTATCCTTGAGATGGGTTTTAGATGTGTCCTTCTGGTACCTCTCCACTGGTTCCTGAGAAGGGTCACGTGCCTTGTCTTTGGATGCATCATCCTCCATAGACTCAGAGCTAGGATCAGTTTGCGGTTGCAATTCTTGGCCGCAAGAATCAAGCTTGTGACCATACTTGCCGCATTTGAAGCAGATGAGGTGGATGCCCTCGTATTCCACTGGATATTCCTCATCATCGATTGTGAACTTGGCCAGTAGCTGTTTGATTATGTCGATTTCTAAACAGATACGAGCGAACTTCCCTCGTGAAGCAAGACAAGTTGTATCATCAATCTTGATGGTTTTTCCGATCTTGTCACCTAGCTTAATCAGAGTTTCCTCATCAAAATATTCGATTGGGATGTCAGGAAGTCGAACCCACACGCAAATCTTCTGTGTTTTGTTCGTCTGAGGCCTGAAGTTTGGCTTCCACTGCTGAACAACCAGATAGTGATCTTGGATTACCCAAGACCCCTCACATCTTGCAATGTCGTAATCCCTCTGTAGCTCAAAGTGTGCCAAGAAATAGTTGTGTTCCAGATCGATCAGCTCCATATGTCCTTCTGGTTTCCATAGTGAGCGTAGGCGTCGAATCAGGAAGTTGTAGCCGATCGACTTTCCCATAAGTTGGATGATAAGCGTTCACCGCCACGGTCTCCTAATCCTAATTTTCTCCTCCTTCGATAACCTAATTCTTGGGCATTCTGGGTCGTCTTGCTCCTCAGAACTCTCATCATCAGTCGCGTCCTCTTCGAAGCCTTCAAGATCATCTTTCTTGTATGTCATGAATTTCCGCAGGCTAAGCTTGTAGCTCGCTGGCAAGGGTGGGTTCAAGAACACCGGCTAGTTGCCCTCTACCGACGTATCCATTGTTTCTGGGCCTGACTCTGTGTTGGGATTTGCACTTGTCGAGAATGTGTCCTCTGGAACTGCATCCTTCTGTGGTGTGGACACCGGCGTATCTACTTCATCCCGGGTCCTCTTAGACTTCTTGGTCGATCTTTCGCGTGATTCTGGTTCCTCCGGCGACCGATTGGTTGCCGCCGGTACGACGTCTTAAGAGAGCGTTTCCGCTACCATCATTCATGTAGAAATATTTATATATGAATGCATTTATTATGTTCACATTGATTGGTAAAGTTTTATATTTAATATAATTTGTGTATATATTCATTTAAACCTCAATTCTAATTAATTTGACTCCACATATATAAAAAGGAGAAATTAGATATAAAATAAACACAGTTCTTACATAAATAATCTTTTTCAAATGATTAAGTTTTTGGTGGAGATTTTTTGAAAAATATTGCCTGTTATTTTTTTTTTTTACAAATTTTATTTAAATACGTTAGCTATGTAATTAAATTAGTTATTTCAAATTCAAATAATAATACAAGTAACAATAAACTTTAAAATCAACATAATAATAACATAATTAAACTTTTAAAAATATTAAATATTACATTGTATATTCATACTTACATTTTTAATAAAACTAATAATTATGCTTAGTATCATAACACTACAACAATACCTATAAATTTTTGTCCGTGCATCGCACGAGGAAAATACTATGTAAGTTATTATCTTGAAATCTCCTACCTCCTTTGAGGTTTGAAATGATCTTAATAGCTTCTGCTGGCATCCTAAGAAAAATGGTACTAAAGCTAGTAAACGGAGATAATTGATGACAACAAATTTCAATAAATTTGGACTAAATAAGTATATTAAAGCAATTCCACTCATAGACAGCAGTCTGATGATCTCGACTCAAACTGTAGCTCGCCTTTATCATAAGATATCGTTCATTATGTTCCACCAATTCCAACTGTGGCTTATGACATAAATCCTTTATATCCAAACGAGCAACAGATATGTCTTTGTTTTTTCTTGTTCCTTTAACACCCATAACTGTGTAGAAGATGTTATCAAACACATTCTTCTCTATATGCATTACATCAAGGTTATGACGGAGGAGGTTATCTTTCCAATATGGTAAATCCCAGAAGCTAAGATACTTCTTTTCTTCCAATTATGTGAACATCCAAAGCCTTCAAGTCGATCGATTAGGCCATCAGTAATATTTGGGAACATCAGTACAGTAGCCAACAATTCTTCCCTTGTCCAAATCCTAGGGGGTCTTGACTTCTCTACCCGTTGTTTGATGAAAGAATCACGATTTTTTCTCAAGGGATGATGCATTGGAAGAAATTGTCGATGACAATCAAACCAACTGTGACAACCCAAAATTTATTTTATAAATCTGGTTTTAAGAAAATCCAAAATAGCCAATTTTCACTCCATAAAAATTTTCGCGATGAAAACGGTGTTGAATAAATTATTTTAAGTCACTTTAAATTAGATTCGACACCAAGACTAGATTTTAATTCCAACATCCTAAAATTTTGGGTACATTGCGTGCCAAGTTTTAAACTGAGAAACCTATCTGAGTGAAACCGGGATAATTCTGAGAAGCTTAAACCAAGTGTTCATCTAGAAATCATTTAGGGAAAATTCCATTTTCAACCCCAAACTATTTCCATGATGCAAGGTGGACCACAAGCTTTCAAGCTTTTGTTTAATCTTTATAGCAGCAAGCAAAATTCCCACTTTGCCCTCAACCAATCATTGGCATTTATCCTAGGGTTTTGGACCCTATAAAATATCTCTTTAGCTACATTGTCTTCTCCTGATCTCTTCTTTGCCTTCCCAAATTCTTGTCTATCAAGTAGAAGAAGAACAACACAGTAAGCTTTTCATCTCATCCCTTCACCTCTTTTCCTTAAGGTTTCCATCCTAGCTTTCAATCTCTGAGTTTTGTTAGGCTTGGCTTGTGTTGTTGTTTGAGGTGTCTAGGTGGTGAATGGAATGGTGTTTGAGTAGAGTGGAGGCTGAGATCCACACAAGGAAGAAGAACAAGAAGAAGAGACAACAAGAGGTATAACCCATGGACTCCCAAGTTATTTCTAGACTCTGTGAAGTCTATGTTTTGAGTAGAAATGATAGATATTTGAAGTGTTTGAGTTATTACATGATCTATGGTTGGTATATGATGTGTTGTTGATGGTTTGGATGAGTTAGAATTGCCTGAGTTGATGTTGCAGATGAAAGGAAATCATCTGGTGCACAGACAGTGTGCACCAGTATGATCAACGGCCTTAGCCAATGGCTCAACAAGGAGACTGTTGGCTAGCTTCGTAGAAGACCGGCCCTAGGGGGCGGCCCTAGGAGAGGGCCGTCGCCTAGAGCCGTGTCTAGGGCAGTTGGAGGCGGCGGGTTTAGCCTAGCCCTGCCCAAGCTCCGTTGAGTGTTTCCAGTGCAGTGGCCGGGCCCTTGTGGCTCAGCTACGTGTCGTTTCGGACAAGGTGTTACGGGCCCTTGTGGCTCGGTACCTCGGGAATGCCTTGACGCTTTGATTTCGTTAAGTTTGGAGAAGATTTGAGCCTTTTATGATTGTTTTTGTGCAAGAAATTGTTGCAGAAGTAGTTGGAATTATTCCCAGTGTTTGGATTTGTGAGCTATCAGACTTTGTTTATCTTTATTTGATGAGCATGTCATAGTATGATTGTTAAATAGAGAAGCATGAGCCTAAATGGTTGAATTTAGCTAGCAAAGCATGCCTAAAGTGATTTCTGTAAATTCTTGAAGTTCACTGCCAAGTTTCTAATTATTGAGCATGATTTATGAAATTGTTTGAGTTTCACAGTGAATAGAAGCTAGAAGCATATTTTACAGTATTTGGCATTTTTTGAGCATATCATGTTTTAAAAGTGCATAAGTGGCCAATGTGAGCCTAAGAATTACTTTCCTAAAAACTCATATCCATTTGGAAGTCTTTATCTTGTCATTCGAGAATGAGTTGAGAAGTTGTGTGCTTATTTGCATAAGAAAAGTAGTGCATAATTGAGATGCATGAGTGATATATATATATATAGTTAATACCATCTAAGGTCCTCCAAGTATAGTGGTTTTATCATGTTTAGTCCTAAGCTTTCAAATTGACCATTTGTGGTCCTTCGACTTTCAAATTTAACCATTCGTGGTCCAAGTTCATCACCCATGGTCCTTCAAGTTTCAAAATATAACCAGTCGCGGTCCTCTTGAAAGGACCATGGTTGGTTAAAATTTAATAGTTGAAGGACCATGGGTGGTTAACGAGGACCACGGATGGTTAAATTTGAAAGTCGAAGGACCACAGATGGTCAATTTGAAAGTTTAGGACTAAACGTGGCAAAATCACTATACTCGGAGGACCTCAAATGGTATTAACTATATATATATATATATATATATATATATATATATATATATATATATATATATATATATATATATATATATATATATATATATATATATATATATATATATATATATATATATATATATATATATATTGTGAGGAAAATAGTATTTTTGGAGGACCCGTTTGGACTATGTCCTTTCGGAGTAAAAGAGAAAGCAACGAACATTGCGATCTAATATCATGTAACACGGCGTATTCCCACGTTACGAGGTTGGAAACTGCCCGCCAGGCTTGGAATCCTGGTCAGGGGGTGTGCACACTGATAGTTCGATACCTGATTCCACAGAGTATGAGTATTGGAACTACGAGATTGGTTCTGTAGGCGGGATGAGAGATTGGCCGGCTAGACGCCGTGCCCAATGGGTTCATTCACACTATGGTGAAGCCCGGCCTCGCCAACGAGTAAAGAGAAAGCGAGTCAAGAGACTCAAGAGAAAGAAAGCGAGTCATTGAGACTCAAAGAAAAGAAGAGTAAAGAAATTCATTTATGACAACAAGAAACCTCCACAGAAAAGTATTCTTTTGAAAGAGTGTTATGTGTATCTATACTTACTATAACCCATCTTATGAGTTATATATCTTGCACTAGATTGCATGAGTAGTAGCACGAGATTGCTTATATATATCTTGCACTAGATTGCATGAGTAGTAGCACGAGATTGCTTATATATATCTCTTGCACTAGATTGAATGAGTAGTAGCACGAGATTGCTTATATATATCTTACACTAGACTGCATGAGTAGTAGCACGAGATTGTTTACATATGTCTTGCACTAGATTGCATGATTAGTAGTATGAGTTTACTTATGAAATATGTCTTGCACTAGATTGCATGATTAGTAGTATGAGTTTGCTTATGAGATATGTTTTGCACGAGATTGCATGAGTAGTATATAATAGCATGAGTTTGCTTATAAGATATGTCTAGCACAAGATTGCTTGATGAGTAATTGATAACATAAGATTTCTTATTTGATTATATGAGAAAGCATGATTGTTGAGTACTTGAGAAAGCTTTAGATTGTTCATAAGTTAAAACTGTGATGAGTTGTTTATTGTAAGAGCATGCCTATATGTTTATTAGGTTGCAAGCATCTAGAAGTTAACGCCATGTATGTTTAAGTGATCAATCTAGTTTGATCTGAGAATGTGAAACTTCGATTTTCCAAAGTATATACTGTATTACTTTACAGGGTTGAGTGGCGTTATACTTAACTTCGTGCTAACGGGTTTTGTTTGCTACTTGT